CTAGAGGGTCGCTCTACACTTAGCCTCTGCAGCGAGCGAGCGCTCAACTTAGCCCCCGCACGGAGCCGGGCTCAGACTTAGACGCTGGAAGGCCGGGGGCCATGAACTTAGACGACACGAGGCCAACTCCGGGTAAAACCCGGGTATACCTGCAAAAGTCCAGGTTTACCCGAAAAATACCTGGACGCGGTCCCGACCAGCGTATGCCGCGCACGACGCCATATCGCCGTCTCCCAGGGCCAGTGCGCTACTTGCGGCGCGCAACGCCTGCTCAAGTACGCGCAACGTACCATATGCTGCCGCTATGCGTGCCTTAAGGCGGCTGCGGCGAAGCGGCGGGCGCGGCATGCCGATGGCAGTGCGGACGATGCGGTTGCGATGTGTTCTGCTTCAAGATCGTGGCGGTGCTTGGCATGCACTTCTGCGATCCCAATCAGCTCATCGCAACGAAGCAGCGCAACAAGCTGGCTGCTGCCAACAAGGCCCTATGCTACCTCACGCGCGGATCGTTCAAAGAAGACCAGCATACACAGGCTTCTCTGACATGCGTTTGTTTGAGCTTGAGGCTATTTGTGAGAACTATTTGGCTAGATGTTGCCGAAGTGCGCTCAAGAAGCAGCAACGAGAATCGGAAGAGGAGGATGCTGAGGCGGCGATTGCTGAGCATGAGGAGGATCGATCGCCCGCCGCGCAGGCGAAGAAAATTTGGGCGCGAGCGCCGTATATCGCGTGCCATGGCCGACTTAGCCGGTGTAAGAGGCTCCCGCTGATCTTAGACCGCGTAAGCACTCCAGCGTGGCTAGCCACACTTAGACCCGTTAAGCCGCGAGGCTCAGAACTTAGACTACTACCCAACCAGTCTCCCGAGCGAGGCCGGCGCGGTCACGGTACCGTGGAGGCCACAGACGTCGCCGGAGCGGCACTCCCGGGGCGCCACTCCCTCACCCGGTCAGGGGGGGCCAACCACAGCCCGCCTCACCGTCCGTGGAGCTTCCGTGGTCCGCCGCTTCGGCTTCGATTTTCGACCCTCCCGAGGCTGCTAGAGCAGCCCCGCGGAGCCTCCCGGATGCACCAGCACACCGTCGTCCAGAACGCCGGCGCACGCGCTGCCCAGTGACTGGGCGGGTCTGCCCCGACTAGGGGCGGGCCCAGCCGCGCGGAGAAGACCATCCCACTCGCGGTTCGTCGCACCGTCCGCTCCAGTTTTCGTCTCGAGCGGGTCGTGAGACGGCCGCGAGAGCGAGCACCGCGGTCACGGTACCTTGGAGGCCACAGACGTCGCCGGAGCGGCACTCCCGGGGCACCACTCCCTCACCCGGTCAGGGGGGGCCAACCACAGCCCGCCTCACCGTCCGTGGAGCTTCCGTGGTCCGCCGCTCCGGCTTCGATTTTCGACCCTCCCGAGGCTGCTATAGCAGCCCCGCGGAGCCTCCCGGATGCATCGGCACACCGTCGTCCAGGATGACGGCGCACGCGCTGCCCAGTGACTGGGCGGGTCTGCCCCGACTAGGGGCGGACCCAGCCGCGCGGAGAAGGCCAGCGAGCTCGAAACACGTCGCCGCGGCCGGCCGTTTCGCAAGCCTGAGCGGGTCGCCAGACACCCGCGAGAGCCAGCAGCTAGAGCGCCGTCGTAGCCGCAGATCGAGTCGAGGAGCTTGATGTCCACGGTAGCAGTTGTGGGGAGCGGTGGCACGGTGCGTGTAGACGCGTCGATTGAGGGCTCCCTTTCGAAACGCGACGGGTACGGCTTGACAACTGCCAGCACAGTTTTACGCCGGCCAGCGTGAGAGCACAACAGGGAGCCGGCGACCCGTACGCTTTACGCGTGGCGGCCGGTGGCTGTCTGGAGCTCGTGCGAGCTGGGCCGACGCGTGGCCGAGCCGAGAGGACCAGCGAGCGACCACGTTGGCGATGAAGCTTGGCGGCCGGCGCCTCGTCGCCAGACGTCACAGCGGCGTGGACGTAGGAGTGTGCGGCGACGGTTACCGGCAAATCCGGCCCGGTGTGGCCGGCAGCTGCATAGCGCTGGCCTGTGGCCGGCGCCGCGGTGGCGGAGAAGGCGTCTCGCCGCCGTGGCGGCGGTCGGCAGGTGCGAGCGTGATGCCATCTTGCGGGACGACACCCGTCTCGCAAAACCCGGACTGCCACCTTAACAAAATCACACACACACACACGCCAGCCGACTGAGCCCAGGATTAGCCAAGCTGGCCCTAGAGCCAAAACACGTGATTCACCTCTAGAGCTCGCTCTCGCCTCCTCGGAGCCTCAACCAAAATCTGTCGCTCCAGCGCCGTCGTCCGGGCCCACGACCGGCTCGCCATCTCGATTTCCACTCGCCCGATGCGCTCGGTCTCTGCTGACGGCTGCCGCAAGAGCGGCTGGCTCACGACAGCGTCTTGCCGGTTGTCGGATGGGAGAGTACAGGACGTCTGGAGTGTAACTGTGTACGTGAGATCGGTCTTGGTAACAAGCACGGTCGGTCTATCGAAGCGATGCACTCGTTTCCGTTGCCCTTCGAGCTTGACACAGAGCTCAGCGCGCCCCGCAAAACAGGAAGAGCCATCCGGCAAGAAGATCTCGATAGGGAGCGAGAACCGTTAGAGGTGCTCCGAGAGGTATCAAGACTCCGTCATGACGCGGTAAGATCACTCCAAAAATGACCGCGCAGATGTCGGATCTCGTTGAGATATCTTGCAAAATCTGCTCTTCCCGAGCCGGCAGCACGCAGAGAGTCGCAGAAAGGCTACGAGTGCTCGACGAGTTTTGAGACCTGCGCGATCAAACCTGGGGGGAACTGACCGCACCAGGACGGACGTCCGAAACCTGCGTGAGCACCTTTGACGATTCTCGCTCCCTATCGAGCTCTTCTTGCCGTACGGCTCTTCCTGTGTGTGCCGGCACAGAGTTCCGTGCAAGCCGTCCAGCGTGACGTGTGACGAGTATATCGCTTCGACGGATCGACCGTGCTTGTTATCAAGACTGATATGACGTACACAGTGACACATCAGACGACACATATTCTCTCACCCGGCGGGCCGCAAAACGCTCTCGACAAGAGCCACACAAAGCCACCCGCACGGCAAGCCGCTCGTCGGACAGGCGTGCTCGATCGATGTCGGAGAGCCAAGGACAAGGCCGGAGGGCAGCCACGCAGAGTGGCGCCACTTCTCGAGCGTCGGCTTGCGCCTCCACCGCTTGCGCCGGAGCGCCGCAGCCAACCGTGCAGCGAGTCGGACAGACCCCGCTAATCCGCCTCCAGGGTTGACTGGATTTCGTTTGGGCGCCCCTGTCCTTGCAGATTCTCTCCATCGGCTTGCTCGCGTACGCCAGGCCTGCAATTCAATCGTTTTTCTTCTCGAAAGATGTCGGCCTGCCTCATCCGCGTCCTGCTTGTGCTCCTCGCGTCCGCGTCGGTGCATTCGCGGCCCAGCAGCAGCCGCTCGGCGGCTGGCCCGCTCGGCCGCAGTGCGCGCAGATTCCAGCGGAGCCTTGTGAGCCGCGGGCGGGACGTCGACTTGCGAGAGCTGGTTGAGGCGACGCGCGAGCTGTGCGCGGTCCTCCTAAAGTTCGGCGCCTACATGGGTCCCTCCGTCTCCGACGTGCGCCGCAACCTGGAGCGCATCGAGGAGGCCCGGCGGAAATGGCTTCGCGCGTCGCCGCGCCGCCGACAGCTCAGCATGAAGGCGCTGCTCGCGGCCGAGGTGGCGGCGGAGATCCACGGGCGTGGCGGAGTGCTCGCCGACCCTTCGGGCGCCATGGGCCTGCTCTGGGTGCGCCGCGGCCTCGCCATGTGGGCCGACACCTTTGAGCAGCAGGCGCGAGCCATGCAGCAGGCCGCCGTCACCGGCGAAGGAGAGGGCTCGCTCGCGGCGCACACGCGAGTGGCGTACGAGCGGACGGTGCAGGCGCACCACGGGTGGGTGTCGCGCCGCGCCTTTGGCGTCGCCTGCCGCGCGACGCCCGACTGGGAGACGGTCGTGCGCCGCGCGGGCCTGCGGACAGACAAGGGCGGCGACGAGGCGCTGCGGCTCGAGCTCAAGTGCTGGGCGGCGGCGGTGCGCGACCTGACCGAGGCGATGCGCTCGCTGCACACGGACCGCGACCTCGAGGACAGGCGCAAGTCCGTCTGATGAGCGGGGTAGTCGGCAGAGAGGGCGCGCTCTCTCTCTGCTTTCTCTCGAGCAGTCAGTGTCAGAGTCACACACCGACCTTTAGAGCTTTATACACGTGTTCTGCATGCCATGCCGCGCATGTCCTTTAATTACATTCATATCCATGAGACGTAAAGAGGTCCACGTTGCGCGACTGTACACATGCACATGCGCGATCTTCGCACTGCGGCTGGGGCTGCCGTGAGCTGGCAGCTGCGAGCTGTAAACACTCTGTAATGGGGATTGGGGAGGCTTTCGGTTTCGCGAGTCAGATCGCAGAGAACCCAGAAAACGGCCGCACGCACATCGTCGGCTCAGAGCGCGGCAGCACCGGATCCGGCGGCGCCCTACCAGGGCGGATCCCACTTGCGCCCATGCCACTGTGGGATTTCTCAAGGTTTTATCTTATGTGATGCATGTGAAATGGGCCCGAGCCGCGAGCGAGCGAGAGCAAGTGCCACGCAGGAGATAACCGTTCTGCTCGTGGAGGTACCCTGTGTGTGTGCGGTGGAGTACCCGAGTGCCGAGAGACGAGAGTGGAGAGAGCGGGCCGGGAGAGACGCGTCGCGAGCTCTAAGACACTAAGAGAGCAAACTCCAAAACATGGAACTTCACCAACTTCAATCTCGGAACCCCGAGAGACGTACCTCGCGCTCGCCGCAGTCGCCGCCGCTCTCTCACGAGGGCATATCGACACTCGGGGCACTTACTGCTTACGGCTTTACGCCGCGCAATTGATTTGTGAACGTAGCGGCGAGTGGTCGCTGGCGCGGTGGGCGCGCTCGCGGTTGGATCGCGTGGATGGCGGATGCGTGTCGTGTGTCGATGGACGAGTGTTCTAAATCGTCCCTACCAAGTCGCCCGAACTCGTCCTTGGTTCGACGTGTCCATCGCGGCGGCCAGGTTGACGGAGAGAGGGAGGAGCGGCGTTTCCTTGGCCATGCAGTAGCCCGCCTGGACGCCCTTCTCGTACGCCTCGTCGGCCAGGAACCTCGTCCTCGTCTTCCAAGTCTCCCGGGCCGAGTGCATGGCGGCGACGAGCATGCTCCATCCGTGCTCGTACAGCGCGGCGCGACGCAGCGAGCGGTGCGCTGAGGCCCATATCTCGGCGTCGGTGTCGAGCGCCTTCTGCCACGCCTGCGCGAGAGGGAATGCCCTGAGGGTGAGAGGAGTGAGAGTACAGAGAATAAGTTGTGCGCCAATACCTTGCAAGTCGCCAGAATGCTGCCAGCCGAGTTGACGTTGCTGCGTGCGACGCGAGCGTGGTCGAGCAGTGTACCGTCCATCGCATCCGTCGGGTAGATGCACTCGCGAGTGAGGTGCCGTGCTATCTCTACGACGACTACGTCGTCGAGTTTGGTCCAGTCGGGAGGGGGCATCGCGGGTGGGCCAGCAATGGAGTGACGCGAAAGTGGGCCAGCTGAAGCAAGTGTCCACAATCGCGGGAGGTGCCGGCCGAGGGGCTTTCGGTTGCTCTCCAGCCAACTGAGCCCTGGATTAGCCCAGCTGGCCTAGAGCCAAAACACGTGATTCACCTCTAGAGCTCGCTCTCGCCTCCTCGGAGCCTCAGCCAAAATCTGTCGCTCCAGCGCCGTCGTCCGGGCCCACGACCGGCTCGCCATCTCGATTTCCACTCGCCCGATGCGCTCGGTCTCTGCTGACGGCTGCCGCAAGAGCGGCTGGTTCACGACAGCGTCTTGCCGGTTGTCGGATGGGAGAGTACAGGACGTCTGGAGTGTAACTGTGTACGTGAGATCGGTCTTGGTAACAAGCACAGTCGGTCTATCGAAGCGATGCACTCGTTTCCGTTGCCCTTCGAGCTTGACACAGAGCTCAGCGCGCCCCGCAAAACAGGAAGAGCCATCCGGCAAGAAGATCTCGATAGGGAGCGAGAACCGTTAGAGGTGCTCCGAGAGGTATCAAGACTCCGTCATGACGCGGTAAGATCACTCCAAAAATGACCGCGCAGATGTCGGATCTCGTTGAGATATCTTGCAAAATCTGCTCTTCCCGAGCCGGCAGCACGCAGAGAGTCGCAGAAAGGCTACGAGTGCTCGACGAGTTTTGAGACCTGCGCGATCAAACCTGGGGGGAACTGACCGCACCAGGACGGACGTCCGAAACCTGCGTGAGCACCTTTGACGATTCTCGCTCCCTATCGAGCTCTTCTTGCCGTACGGCTCTTCCTGTGTGTGCCGGCACAGAGTTCCGTGCAAGCCGTCCAGCGTGACGTGTGACGAGTATATCGCTTCGACGGATCGACCGTGCTTGTTATCAAGACTGATATGACGTACACAGTGACACATCAGACGACACATATTCTCTCACCCGGCGGGCCGCAAAACGCTCTCGACAAGAGCCACACAAAGCCACCCGCACGGCAAGCCGCTCGTCGGACAGGCGTGCTCGATCGATGTCGGAGAGCCAAGGACAAGGCCGGAGGGCAGCCACGCAGAGTGGCGCCACTTCTCGAGCGTCGGCTTGCGCCTCCACCGCTTGCGCCGGAGCGCCGCAGCCAACCGTGCAGCGAGTCGGACAGACCCCGCTAATCCGCCTCCAGGGTTGACTGGATTTCGTTTGGGCGCCCCTGTCCTTGCAGATTCTCTCCATCGGCTTGCTCGCGTACGCCAGGCCTGCAATTCAATCGTTTTTCTTCTCGATCGCTGAGGCAAAAAAAAGATATGTCGGCCTGCCTCATCCGCGTCCTGCTTGTGCTCCTCGCGTCCGCGTCGGTGCATTCGCGGCCCAGCAGCAGCCGCTCGGCGGCTGGCCCGCTCGGCCGCAGTGCGCGCAGATTCCAGCGGAGCCTTGTGAGCCGCGGGCGGGACGTCGACTTGCGAGAGCTGGTTGAGGCGACGCGCGAGCTGTGCGCGGTCCTCCTAAAGTTCGGCGCCTACATGGGTCCCTCCGTCTCCGACGTGCGCCGCAACCTGGAGCGCATCGAGGAGGCCCGGCGGAAATGGCTTCGCGCGTCGCCGCGCCGCCGACAGCTCAGCATGAAGGCGCTGCTCGCGGCCGAGGTGGCGGCGGAGATCCACGGGCGTGGCGGAGTGCTCGCCGACCCTTCGGGCGCCATGGGCCTGCTCTGGGTGCGCCGCGGCCTCGCCATGTGGGCCGACACCTTTGAGCAGCAGGCGCGAGCCATGCAGCAGGCCGCCGTCACCGGCGAAGGAGAGGGCTCGCTCGCGGCGCACACGCGAGTGGCGTACGAGCGGACGGTGCAGGCGCACCACGGGTGGGTGTCGCGCCGCGCCTTTGGCGTCGCCTGCCGCGCGACGCCCGACTGGGAGACGGTCGTGCGCCGCGCGGGCCTGCGGACAGACAAGGGCGGCGACGAGGCGCTGCGGCTCGAGCTCAAGTGCTGGGCGGCGGCGGTGCGCGACCTGACCGAGGCGATGCGCTCGCTGCACACGGACCGCGACCTCGAGGACAGGCGCAAGTCCGTCTGATGAGCGGGGTAGTCGGCAGAGAGGGCGCGCTCTCTCTCTGCTTTCTCTCGAGCAGTCAGTGTCAGAGTCACACACCGACCTTTAGAGCTTTATACACGTGTTCTGCATGCCATGCCGCGCATGTCCTTTAATTACATTCATATCCATGAGACGTAAAGAGGTCCACGTTGCGCGACTGTACACATGCACATGCGCGATCTTCGCACTGCGGCTGGGGCTGCCGTGAGCTGGCAGCTGCGAGCTGTAAACACTCTGTAATGGGGATTGGGGAGGCTTTCGGTTTCGCGAGTCAGATCGCAGAGAACCCAGAAAACGGCCGCACGCACATCGTCGGCTCAGAGCGCGGCAGCACCGGATCCGGCGGCGCCCTACCAGGGCGGATCCCACTGGCTCTGTCCCGTCTCGTCATTCACGTAGTACGTCTGCCCGCTCGCCGGGTCGACCGCCGAGGTCCAGCCCTGGTAGCCGCCCTGCTGTGTGTAGCCCTGCTGGTCGTAGCCGCCCTGCCGGCCTCCGCTCTCGTCGAAGCAGGTGAAGACCGCGCCCTCAGGGTTATTGCAGTCCAGGCTCACCTGCAGGCCGTCGGACAGCAGCACGCTCTCGCCCTTGTAGAGCGGGCTCCAAGGGCCGCCGAAGGCGCGATATAGCGATGGCGCCTTGCCACACCCGACCAGAGTGGGCGTGCCGTCGGCGAGGACCCTCACCATGCACTGCACCCGCGAGACGGTCAACGCCTCGTTCATCATGTTCCAGCGACTCAACACCTGGTCCTCGCCGTTGCGTACCGTGTAGGGCAGAGCCCAATATTTCGGCAAAGCGGGAAAGCGGAATTGAGGCATGGCCTGGACGCCGTAGCTAGCGTCAATGCGCCACTGCACACCGCCGTAGCTCTGCTGGTAGTTCTGCTGCTGATCCATGTAGCCGTACTGCATCCTCGCCACAGCACTTCTCACGGCACGATACGAGGCCGCACTGCTGGGCTCGACCGTCGGCAACGTCCATCCTGTCACGTGAGGCAAAAAGCACAGCAGCAGACTCGTCATGGTAGGCCGAGAGGGCTGGAGAAGCCCTGTACCGACGCTGGGCACCACCAAGGCACCAGGGAAAAAGAATTGTACACGGAACATACAAGCTATCCCTCCCTTGGGTTGTTTTCTTTCTTTCTTTCTTTCTTTCTTACATACAAGCTGTCAAGCTCTAAACAAGATCATAAGCGGTGACCGCCTGCTCCGACGGATGCAGACAGAACGAGAAAGAAACAAGGAAGGTACAGCCTGCGTGTGCTTTTTTCTACACGATTGGGAGGCCACTAGGCCCTTCCTCGCCTTCCAGCTTCCTTATCCTCGACGCGTCATCCAGAACGTCCAAACTCATAAACCGTGATCGGTCCGGCCCTTGGAAGTCCCTTTCGAGCTCACATTGTGATGCCCTCCGCGCGCCTTTACCTCGTGATCGCTGCAGCCGCCTCACAGACCCGTCTCCTGGACGGCGCTCCTGTCACCGGCTTGCTTGCTGAGCTCTACGAGTCGTTTCAGGCGGCGGAAAGAAGAGGCGGAGTCACCGAGTCCACGCCGGCAGACACGGCCAGCCGCCACACAGACCAGGGCTGTGAAGGCTGGTCGTGCTACCTCTCTTCCTGGGCCTGCTGCTCGACGAAGAGCGAGCCATCGGCGGTGCGTGAAGTTCCGGACGCGGCTAAGCGGTCCTTCCTCTCTGCAATTGATACAGCGTTGGAGGGGGAAGAACCCAACTTCGACCACTTAGCAGCAGGGTCGCAGCCGCAGGGCTGTTACAACGCACAGCATCGCTGGACCATGCCCTGCGACCTTGGCGCACGCCCGACCCACGCGGCGATGATGCAGCCGCACGGCATGACGAGATACCGCCAGAGCCACTCAACTTCGACGAGCAATACCTACCGCGAACTGCAACCTCCGCAAGATCCCAAGACGTTCAATGGAGGTTCCTTTTCATTTGCGGGTGGTTTTGACAATCAGCGCTCGGGGTAAGGAACACAACGTGACAAATACGCTCGCTCTCTCTCTCTTTCTCTGCAGACTCTCCACACTTACACTTGAGCACAGCACACGCTTTTGAGTCGAGCCTGTCGAGTCTCGAGTCGAGAGAGTTGTGGCTTGTGCGCTCTGAGCTCTGACTCCATGGCTGTCGCTCGATCACCGGACTGGTATCGATTCGTGGCGTTGCATTCATTATTTCTGTGTATAGAAAGAGACGAAGGGATCCACACACACGAGATCGGACTTCGGAGGCGCAACACGCTGGGAGGTGCGGGAGTGGGGAGAGGAGGAGCACCCGAGCAGACGCTCTCCCCTCTCTCGACTCTGGTTCGTCTGCCGCTCACTCTG